AAAATTATTTACATTGCTATTTCATAACTCTAATTTTGCCACTGTTATGAATCATAATGTAAATATATGATATGCAGGATGTGTTTTCCTTGTTACAAAGGGGTCGCGACCCAGACGTTGAGAACCACTGATTCTAACTTGTCATCTTGTCCAGTCTTATAGTACATGTATATATATAAACAAACTCTGATTACTTCTGAATTTTCATATTTTCCATTTCAAACAATAGTTTAACCAATTAAACACATAGATCCTCCATAGCTGACCACCTCCTTAAGTTGACCTAATTTTCATAAGTAGGCTATACACCACATATACTAAGGACCAGTTCCTTACATGGAATCCCTTCCTTACCACTGTGGCCATGTGTTGCCCAGTTTGTTACAGTCCATTGGGTGGTCAACTTGCAGAGGTTCTACTGCAAGTAATTGCTTTTGACAACAATTGTTTATCAGGTAGATATGATATTATATTGTTGTAAAATAACATGTGTTGTTGTAAAATAGTGTGTGTTTACATGGTAATACCCCATTGGGGAATCTCGAGAACCTGCCTTTCCCTTAGTCTGAGAGTCGAGACAAAATTAGACTGTACATGATGAAAATATTTCAAATTGTATGTAAAACCAGCACATTGTACCCCATGATTGCATTAGTGTACACAGCTGTGATATAATTAAAAAAAAAATTAGACTGTACATTGGCCCAAAAGTTCTTGGATTCTGCATCCTGCCTAGCATCAGCCCAGGTGGACACACAGACACTAAAGAGTCTCCATATGTTTAATTTGTCCTTTTGTTTTAATAGCCAACCAACAGAGTTTGGAGAAAATATCAAGCTGTGCCTTTTTGGCATAAAATATTTAGTTTGCTACCTCATCATGTGCTAATTGCTAAATAACTTCCCAGAAATTATTATTTTAGAATACTTAACAGCGAAGGTTGTTAGAAATGTAATTGTTAGCATTGCGGAATGAGAAGTAAGCACTGTTCTTCCCATTGTTTGAATTCACAGCCTGTGCCTCTGTCATCCATCCATTTAGCCAACCATCTGATCTGTATTTCAAATACTAAGCCTTTTTTCCTCAGGATTCTTTTCCTGGGCTGCTGTAATATCTCTATCCTGATTGTTTGGCTTCCACGCTTGGCTTTGCTGTAGTCCGTGCTCCACTCTGCAGCCAGTGCATTCTTTCTAGAATTGTCTGCATTGTCCGAGATGGTAGCCATTAACCATATGTGACTATTTATATTTAAATTAATTGAAATTAAATTAATTAAAAGTTGGTTCTCACAGTAGACACATTTCTTTTTTTTTTTTTTTTTTGAGACAGAGCCTCAAGCTGGTCCCCCTGGGTAGAGTGCCGTGGCATTACAGCTCACAGCAACCTCCAACTCCTGGGCTCAAGCGAGTCTCCTGCCTCTGCCTCCCAAGTAGCTGGGACCACAGGCGCCCGCCACAACGCGCGGCTATTTTTTGGTTGCAGCGATCATTGTTGTTTGGCGGGTCCGGGCTGGGGATTCGAACCCGCCACCTTAGGTGTACGTGGCTGGCGCCTTAGCCGGTTGAGCTATAGGCGCCGAGCCAGTAGACACATTTCTAATACTTAGAGCCACTTGTAGCTAGTGGCTACCAAATTGAGCAGCACAAATGTAGAACTTTTCTTTCTTTCTTTTTTTTTTTTTTTTTTTGAGACCAGAGTCTCACTGTGTCCCCCTGGGTAGAGTGCTGTGGTGTCACAGCTCACAGCAACCTCAAACTCTTGGGCTTAAAACAATTCTCTTGCCTTAGCCTCCCAAGTAGCTGGGACTATAGGCACCTGCCACAACACCTGGCTATTTCTGTGTTGTAGTTGTTATTGTTGCTGTGTTGTTAGTGGGCCCAGGCTGGATTCAAACCTGCCAGCTTTAGTGTATGTGGCTGGCGCCCTGCTGACTGAGCTACAGGCACTGCCAGAACATTACTGACATCTCAGGAAAGTGTTAGGTATCATTGTTCTAGAACATAGAACTTAACTGTTGGAACCAAAACTCTTTTCCGTGGCTGGCAAGGATCTATGGAACCTTGCTTCTCTCTCCCTTCTTGTTTCTCCTTACATAATCCTTTATTCGTTGTACTCTGGGTGCACTGGCCTTCTTTCTGTCCTTTGGCTTTGCTAGATCCCCCCACTCCCAGCCCCCGTCTTACAGTGTCTGCCACTTGCTACTCCTTCGGTTGGGAACACGCTTTGGCCCTCATCTTTACATGGCTCTGTCATCATCATTTAGGTGTCAACACAGATGCTACCTCCTCAAGAGAATTCTTCCCTGTATACCCTGAGTATCTCCTTTGAGAAGCTCTTAATCATAGTAGCCTATTTTTATGATCTCCCCAGCCTTTATCCTTAACTGAAAGTCAGCTTATCCGTATGTTTGCCTACCCTGACACCCCTCTCCTCCCCACTAGAATATAAGCTTCTTAACGATCATGTATTCTTTCTCGCTCACTCACCACTATTCCCTTCCATCTAGAAAACTGTACATAGTAGGTGCTCAGTCACTAAACTGTGAGAGTCTCTCAGAACACTATCATCTGAACTACCTTATTTCTTTTTACTCTGTCTTTTTCGAGATTTCAAGTCTGTTTTCCTATGCCCTGTTTTCCATTTTTTTCCAAAGGTTATTACAAACTACTGTTTGGTCATCAGATCAGCAATTTGATGGTCAAATGATCTTGTCTCTGTATCAGTACACTTATCAGAATGAAGAGTTATCTGTATGCTAAAACATGTACTTTTCCCATTTTTCTATTTCTGCTTAAAAATATAAATCCAGTCAAATCACCATTCTAGAGTAGCCTAACAAATTACTTCATTTCAGCTTTAAGTTGGAATTTAGTATTAGAAAAGATACTCCCACATTTTGGATTAACCTTAGTATACTATTATTCTTGAGGGTCATATTCTTTTCTAAAAGCAGATGGCTGTATAACAAGTGTTGGGAGAACACTGACATTGAATTGTGTTCATCACCTTATTGATCATCCTGGTTCTTTTTTTTTTTTTTTTGAGACAGAGTCTCATCTTATAACCCTTGGTAGAGTGCTGTGGCATCACAGTTCACAGCAACCTCAAACTCTTGGGTGTAAGCAATTCTCCTGCCTCAGCCTCCCAAGCAGCTGGGACTACAGGTGCCCGGCTAAGTCCTGGTTCACTTGAAGTTATTCTGTTTTCCCTGCCTATATAAAAATATGATAGATGAGAAAATTATTTTGATTTTTCTCATTTTATGTTATTAATCTGTTAATAACAGATAGATGGAATTTATAGATGGAATAAATAAACTTTAACTGTCTGTTGATTTTATACTCTTGAAGAATGCTTCCCAACTTCACCGTACTTCTTGGATTTTTTGTTTGTTTTTTGATTTTGATAGAGTCTTACTCTGTCGCCCAGGCTGGAGTGCAGTAACACAGTCATAACTCTGCAGCCTCAAACTCCTGAGCTCAAGCAACCCTTCTGCCTCAGCCACCCAAATAGCTAGGAACACAGGCATATGCCACCATAGCTGGCTAATTTTTTGTGTGTTTTGTAGAGATAGAGTATTACTTTATGCCCAGGCTAGTCTCAAACTCCTGGCCTCAAATGATTCTTCTGCCTTGGTCTCTCAGAGTGCTGGTGTAACAGGCTTGAGCCACCACATCTGGCCTTGGTTTTCTTTTAAATGGCTTTTATACCTTTGTTCCCTCTCAGGCTGAGCATTTTTAGGAAATGATGTTGGCCTGATACATGGATATAATGTTCTAGCCAGCATTATAATAGATACATAAATATGTGTCTAGTCCTGACAGTGTTCTTCTGTCTTATACAGTCTGTGTAGATGTATGGTCTGTTGCTGTCTAAACTTCAGTATGATCTGAAACATTACACTCCTCTTGCATATCATTAGTTGTACAGTTACTGTGTGTAAAGAACTCGGTATTTTTCACCATAGAAAATAAAGATTATAAAATAGTTGATACCACTGCTATTATCTGTGAAATGAGCAGGTATGAAGTATCATGAAATCAGTGGTAATTGGTCAGGTGTTACACACATACAGTAGAACCTCCATAGTTGGCCATCTCCGTAAGTTGACCTAATTTTCATAGACCAGACATGCACCACATGTTTGTATCGTTCCTTATGTTGACCACCTCTGTATGTTGACCAGTTTGTTATAGCCCCTTGAGTGATCAACTCACAGGGGTCCTATTGTATAAAAATAAAAGATATTGGTGGGTATTTCCTGTTGATTTTGTTTTCCTTATTGTTTTCCAAGTTTCTTATATTGAAACTATATTACTTTTGTATTTGAAACAAAAAGAGTAAATACTTTTTTAGATGCAGCTCATGCCAAGTATACAAAATATATAAAATATTTAGGGAAGAGAAAGAATCAAAGGTGGAAGAGATTAATCATAGAAAGCTTTCTGGAGAGCGGTGCCTATGGCTCACTGAGTAGGCACTAGCCCCATATACCAAGGGTGGCGGGTTCGAACCCAGCCCTGACTAAACTGCAACAACAAAAAATAGCCAGAGGTGGCATCTGTGGCTCAAAGGAGTAGGACGCATGTACTGGAGGTGGTAGGTTCAAATCCAGCCCTGGCCAAAAACTGCAAAAAAAAATAGCTGGGCTTTGTGGCGGGTACCTGTAGTCCCAGCTACCTGGGAGGCTGAGGCAAGAGAATCACCTAAGCCCAAGAGCTGGAGGTTGCTGTGAGCTGTGACACTACGGCACTCTACTGAGGGCAACAGAATGAGACTCTGTCTCTAAGAAAAAAAAAGGGAAAGCTTTCTGGAAAGAGCATGTATTTCTTCATGGGCATTAGTCAACCCCAGATCAGTCAGATGGTTATTTTCTGATGCTGCCTCATTTTTGTGTCTAGCTACTTTAAGTGCTTGGTGATCCATAAGAGATTATGGATCCATGATTCCATCATGATGGAAACATCAGAAATGAAGGCATGTTATTTGTGTTTTTGCAGGCTGCTTCATGTGCGAAATGGAAATTGTAAATATCATTTGGGTGAAGAAACATTTAAATTAGCTCAGACATATATGGATAAACTATCAAAACATGGCCAGCAAGCAAACAAAGCTGCACTCTATGGAGAACTGTGTGCACTCCTATTTGCAAAAAGCCACTATGATGAGGTAAGCGTTTCGAGGTGCATTTCATTGTGACCAATAAATACATATAAAACAAGATAAATCAAGTAGTCTTCTCTTATTTTTCCTGTAGATCTCATTTTTATATTTTAGGTTTACTGGAAGCAATATGCATTTGTAATAGAATATTTAAAACTAGACAGAAGGAATATTTGTCTAAATATATACATGTACAATTTAGGGTTAATTTTGGTTTTGTTCCTTTTTAATTTGACCAACTGTATCTCTGCCTCGATTTTTTTTTTCTTGAGTCAGGGTCTCACTCTGTCACACTGGCTGAAGTCTGTCACAGTGGCATGATCATAGCTCATTGCAGCCTAAAACTCCTGAGCTCAAGTGATCCTCCTGGCTCAGCCTCCTAAGTAGCTGGGACTATAGGCACACACCACCACACCCAATAATTTCTTCTATTTTGTTTTGTAGAGATGCGGGTCTCACTCTTGTTCAGGCTGGTCCTTCTACCTTAGTCCCCCAGACTGCTAGGATTGCTGGCATGAGCCACTGCCCCTGGCTTTACCCTATTGTATTAGTCAGGATAGGCTAGGCTATGCTGAGGTGCTATCAACCCCAGAGTAGCAATGGTTTTAAAACAATAAAAACTTATTTCTTGGGTGGCACCTGTAGCTCAAAGGAGTAGGTCGCCCACCCCATATACCAGAGGTGGTGGGTTCAAACCCAGCCCCCACCAAAAACTGCAAAAAAACCCACTTATTTCTTGCTTATGTTATATCCCTCTCCTGGGATGGCTGTGACTACTTAACATTATATCTACACTTTGACTAAGACCCATTATGGTTTAACACATCTACCTGTAACAATAACATCACCCTTGGAGCAAAGGCAGAAGCTTCCTGGGCGGTTACCGTTGGCTTTTAGAGCCTTCTCCCAGAAATGACACATTTCACTTCTCATATATTAATGGGTTAAAGGAAGTCACATGGCCATGCTTGTCTTTAATGTGAAAAAGAGGGAGTGGGGCAGTCAATATTTTATAATAGTATTACAGTCTATCGCAATTTTTAAAATGCTACCTTTTGCTTTAGAACAAAATTCAACTCTTTTAGCATCTTACAGACTAGTTTTTTGACCTAAATCTGAGTTAGATAAGTAGCTTTTATCTGTTTTTGCATCAAAATTGCTTCTGAACAGATGTATCTTGTAAGTGAAGTAGAAGAGAAGGAAACTTGCAAACGAGGAATATTTTCTAATGTTCTCCCCCTATTCCTTAAGATCCCTTCATAATATCATTTTGTTTATAGCACTCACCACTATCCAAGATAATCTGTTTTGTCTTTTTTTTTTTT